AGGCCAGTCCCTGAACCGTCCAGATGGACGGTTCAGCCTCAATCGGCGGGCGGCAGCTTTAAGAGCGCCGCCAGGCCCAAACGAAGTGTCGTTTGGGCCTACCCGATGGGAGGCTGTCCAAAATCAGGCCTTTAGGGCCTGTAGTAAAAAAGGTCGGGCCTTTAGGCCCTGGTGTGTTCCTCCGGCCCTAAGTCGGGTCCGGTAGGACCCGTGTGAATCGAAAGATGTAACACTGGTGAGACACACATCTGTGAGGAGAAGAAGTTGAAAGAAGCAGCGGCTAAATTTTGATTCTATTGTTGTTGTGCGATTGTTGCCATCGTTGCACATTGCATACTTACTTGTCGTGGGCTGTTGTTTCTCGTGAATATTGCAGGCCAACGTTGGTGTTGTGTCTTGATCACATTGGCCGTCGCATAGGACTTCCCTGGACAGTACCTCAAATTAGAACGTCGCCAGTCATAATTAGCAGGAGCAGAATAAGAAATAATAGAAATTTGAAAAATCGTGATTTAGAATTTCTGATTCTTGAGCCTACGAAACGGAGCGTTAGCGCCGTCCGGTAAGCGCTATCCCACTGCGCCAAACTTCCGAACCCGTACGCCCGTGAACTGCCCTCAACCGGCGGGAAACCTCGCACCGCGCGCGTTTGCGGGCGCGCGCCATCACCCTTTCGAACAAGGACACGAAGGGCGGGAAACAGAAGGCGAGCCCACGCTTCTCCTCGCCACGCCTTCGGGCGTGGCCACCCATTCATTCACGGCAAGAGGCAAGAAAGACGGGTAAAGACGTGGAGAGGAAGAGAGAAGTGATGCTGAGCAAAGAGCAAAGAGGACGAGCGCAGAGTACCTAAGTGGAGATAAGGACAACAGGTTCGAAGAAAGGGAGTAAGAAATCGAGCGAGTCTCCCAGGGCGTGGCCATTCACGACAAGAGACAAGAGAGACAAGAAAGACGGGTAAAGACAAGGAGAGGAGGAGAGAAGTGAGGAGAAGCAATGAGCAAAAAAGGTCGGGCGCGGAATACCTAAGTGGAGGAAAGGACAACGGGATCGAAGAAAAGGAGTAGGAAAGTGAACGATTTTTCCAGAGGAAAAATCATCCAGTCCGGTCGCTCCCAGCGGGAACCTACAGAACACGACTATCGCGTGCATCTTCTCCTTTCGGTCTCGTGGGAGGGTGGCGAGAAGGGGAGCGAGGATCGAACTCGCATCTCACCACKCTGCGTCACGCYGCAGGGCGTGGCTCCCCCGAGGGTCAAAAAGGGCAAGAAAAGACAAGGAAGGGAAGGAGGAGTAGGCGGGAAGGTACTCTAGGGGAAGAAAAAGGAAAAAAGGSAATGACCTACGTACAGGAAAGGACAAAGAAGGAAGGAGAGAAGGAAGGAGGGAAAGGAGAGGAGGGACCGAGCACTACACTTCCAATCAAAGGAAAAGGACATCCTTCACAAACAAGCAAATACCAA